CATGCGAGCAGCGGCACTCTGCGATAGGCACTCTAAGTGTAAGTTTCTCCTCTGTTGTTTTTTATGGTGCAGTGAACTGTTATTTTCTACCATAGGATATGGATGAAAGTTTTAATCACATCGGGAAAAGGATATTGGAATTAATTTGGGGATTTATTCTGCATTTTCTTTGCTTCTGGACATGTGCTTTTAGTCTTCGAGGAACCAGAGGATCCGAGCAGCCGATCCTTCTTCTCAGAGATCATCTCCTCCATCTCAGACGTGAAGTTCAGTCACAGCGGTCGCTACATGATGACACGTGACTACCTCTCCGTCAAGGTTTGGGACCTCAACATGGAGAACAGACCAGTGGAGACGTATCAGGTGCATAGATCCATCTTCTAAAGGTTTCTTTCTCTGATATTATAGGGATCTTTTTAGAGAACGTGTAAATATGCTCTGATTAAAATTACTTCTATCATTTCTTTTAATATTGAGTAAATTACACGGTCTACAACTTTGGTGAAATTTATATTCATTGTTAATTTTTAAATTAATTTAAATCTTTCGATCAAATCTTTTGTTGAAAATAATTTCTTACAATTCTAAAAATCATTTGATGCAAAGTCAATATGACAACCAATTATTTCCATATAATTAAAAAATAAAAGTTTAGATGGGACCTGCTAGATCTCATTTACTGGTCACCATCATCATATAATTGAAATGTAAGGCCTAAAAGGCATCATATTTTAGCTTTAAAGCCTCTTGAAAAATCTGGAAGAACTGTAATTATTAGAATGTCGTCAAACATGCTAGCATTTGTTTGCTGCTATCAATAAGCAACACATATTTCCAAAAAAGCTGAGTATTCTGCACACATTGGTTCATTTAGTAGAATAAGGACGTTTCTGTAAGTATGTAAGCTAACCCTGCATGTTACACAGTTTGCATGCTTATAATTAGGCATCATAAGCATAATGGCTAACACATTCCTGAGCTATAACACATTACATTGTTTGCTAGCACTAACAAATCCCATCTACTGTAAAATAAGTTATTGCTATAGGTTTGCCAAAATGCTAGTATTAGCTGACTTATGAGAGAACTGCTATCCTGTAACTTCTGAATGAATCCCTGCTTATAAACTGAATTATGGTTTGGAAATTTAATGCATTTGAAATATAACCACAGTTGAACCAAACTGTTTTCAAACTGCAGAGATCCTCAGTTTTTGTCATATTACATTTAACAAGAGTTAGGGGGTTTGTCGCCACACAGGAGGGAAGAGAGGGTTGCAGATCCGTGTATGTGGGTAGAAGTAAGAACAACAGTAACATTAAAGTGGACTCTGGAAAAGCAAGCTTCCAAGGTCACAATGAATCCTTGGAATGAAACATCTACATGCTGGTTGTTAGTACAGAGGAAAGATAAAGTTAAAATAACAATGACAATATTTGAAAAAATCCCAATTTAGATTTTTGTCAAAATCATTCAGCCCTAATGTGACTTAAATGGCTGAATTCCCTTATTGTTATGTCCTTCAGCTCTTCAGAAGCTTCACAGCAAGACATTTATTACATGCAGGTTTGTTGAAGAAGAGTTGCATCTAAAAGTTAAAGAAGAGTAACTCTACCGGAATATGTGAAGTTTATCTATGCTTTGTTGTTTAATTAAAGTATCACTGAATATTGAAGTTTATTAAACCTTTTCAGGTCCATGAATACCTTCGCAGTAAACTCTGCTCCTTGTATGAAAATGACTGCATCTTTGACAAGTTTGAGTGCTGCTGGAACGGCAGTGACAGGTAAATATTTCCCCCGCTGCTGCTTTAGATCATTCAACATCATCTGTCCAAGGGTCTCCTTGCTCTTCTGCTTGTTTTATGATAAGCCCCCCTGTGCACATAATCAACTCTCACTTCCTCCATCAGTGCCATCATGACCGGATCCTACAACAACTTCTTCCGAATGTTTGACCGCAACACCAGGCGGGACATCACACTGGAGGCATCCCGGGAGAGCAGCAAACCACGGGCCACGCTCAAGCCCCGTAAAGTGTCCACCGGCGGGAAGAGGAAGAAGGACGAGATTAGCGTGGACAGCCTGGACTTCAACAAGAAGATCCTCCACACTGCCTGGCACCCCAAAGATAACGTGATAGCTGTGGCAGCCACCAACAACTTGTACATTTTCCAGGACAAAATCAACTAAAAAAAAAAAATAAAAATGTTTTGGGGCTCCAGAGGATAGGGCTTTTACCATACCTGTGTAGTTAAGCCTACTACTTGTCTATCTGTATAAGAAGAAACAGCCTTGTTGTCCTCCTGGTGAAGAAATTGAAAGCACGCGTCTACTTTTTTTTTGCCACAGGAGGTTGATCCATAGGCCTGTTTTATTTTTGAGTCTGAGCTTAGGTTGTTTTTTGCCTTTGGCACCAGGGCAATCAGCACGATCCCACCCATCCTCTCCCCCTGCCCCAGAAAGCCCGACCCGGGTCTAACTGATGGAATGGCACTCCCTAGAGGTCAAACTCTTCAACGTCGGTATTTGTGTTGACATTTTAAGCCTTCATTTCATGATTTAACAACAGAACTCTTGGAAGTCCTTAAAATGACGTCTTGTCAAGGTTGTATTCATCTTTCAGATTCTGGGGTCCTGTGAAGCACGGGTGAATGACCAACAGGCCTAACTGTAACATTCCCCCTCATTGGTCTCGTATTGAGGCCAAATAACTGCTGGAAAAAGGCCCATGAATTTGGAAAGTGGACTTGTTTCATTTCTTCCCTTCCCCTTTTCTTTTCCCCCATCAACATAAGTTCACTGTATCTACTCGAGTACACCTTGTCATCGACATAATAAAAGAAACTAAAACTACGGATGTGTTTTTAAATTTAGAAGTAAGGTATTAAAACATGTTTATTGCTTTGCATGTTTTTATGTCGTAGAGAGGTGGAGAAATGTCCAGTCACACCACTGTCTTTTGAGCAGATCTCAAACAAACTTGTCGAGGAGATACTATTTGGGGCAATCGGTTCGGAAACTACTGTCAGAAAATGTCACGAAGAGATTGAAGTCCTACTTTTTCATGATGTTTGAGGATGCAGACTGGAAACTGAATGGCACAAAAAAAATGAGTCCAGGACAAAGGGAATCTGCAGCCTTAATACCTACTTCAACCAGTGACAGCTACGAGTTGCGTCCCTGAGCGTTATATGAACCTCATGTGCATTATTTGTAAATCCTATTTTATAGTTATGTCCTCATACACTGCTGCTACAAGTGGCCGTCAATGAAAACACACAGAGGAGGAAAATTGCACACCATACATACAGTTTATGTGATAGTGCCTCCAAATCTTGTAACAAGTAGGTAACAAAGACAGGCCTCATACATGTGCCCTTTTTTTTTTTTTTTTTTCCGATTTGATTAGGGATGCCACCCAGATCTGAACCACATATTCTGAATGTGGATCTTGGTAGTTGTGTATGCAGATATGAAGGTTGACTACACAAAGCGTATACTGATGACGTTAAAAACACACATAATGCATTGTCTTTGTCCATTGATCCTAACATGGTGGCAATGTATTCACATGTTTATTATTTTGACCAAAGTTAAATAAAATTTTAATTGTGTTCATCTGAACCGTTTCTTTTCCTTATGTGTGGTATCGTCCAGAATAGAGTCCATCAGGAATTTATGATTCACACATGAATAAACTATGATGGGCTGAAACAATCATGGTTCTATTGATCTTAAGATCTAAATGAGATTGAAAGGAAAACCAAATAATATATATATTGCATTTAATAAAAATGTGCTTTTTTTTAAAGTAACCATTTTATCCATCAGCTTTAGCTATTGGAGTAAGGGCCATCACCACTAATACTGCTAAATATATGACAGGAGTGACATATTAATGGAAAGTTAAGTGGAAGGAAAAGCAGCCATCTCAATCATGATGCCAAGTATTGGAAGTATGACAACCAGCTTTAGCTGGAGTCATAACTTCAAAAGCCAGCATATGCAGGCATATATATATATAAGACAAAATGCTGCATTCCTTTTTTTTTTTTTTTGTCCAATCCTGACCCAGAGATGAGATTAGCGGTAGCTTAGTCTGGGTACTGAATAAAAAATGATTCAGAAGATTAGAAATTGGTAAGGATACTTAAGCCTAAAACGGAAGTGTGTCAGTAGTCACCATAATAAGTGCTATCCGAATAGGGCTGGTAAGAGTAGGAAATGGTATTGTTCCTACCAATGAATCCTATCTGCAGCATAGTTTTAACTATTTAATTGTCAAAAATCCTTTGTGTGACAGAAGGTATAAGTACAAACCCCTTCCCAGACTACTCCCAGAGTTTAACAAAAAAAAAAAAATCATTTTGTGGCATATGCTCTATGACTCATGCATCTCAATGTTTTGTTTTTTTTAAAAATTGTGTAAATTGCTTTTTGTTGTTCTTTTCCAGAAGGCTGTAGTCCCAATGGCCTCTATGCACAGCTCCACTACGTCCTGAAGGCAGCTCCTCTGTTTCCTTTCTTTCTCTGCTGGAAAGACAGATTAATCTAGATGTGCCCAAACTCAGTGAGCATGGAGACATTGGCCAGACACACCTGGATTAATCAGTAAAAGATTGTGCACAGAGTCAATTTGACCAGCATCATTCATATGTGCGTTCTTGTCAAAAAGATGTCTGTAAGTGCAGGTTAACCAATCAAATGGTTGGATTTATCTGATGAGACAAAGTGAATTTTTGGTGAACTGATTTTAAAAGTCTATCTTCTTTAAGATTGATTAATATATATATTTGTTAGTCTGCAATTACAAAAGCAATTATCATTACATGTATTCCAATATCCTTAAAACACTAAATTCAGAAATGGAATGAATGAAAACAAATTTTCTAGTCCTTAGATTATTGTTATTACAATTCAATAATACTTTATTAATCCTGAAGGGAAATAAAACAGCTTATCTAAAAAAAAAAAAAAAAAAAGAAGAGACAACAACAATTTCAGCACAATAAATCAAATAAGGTTTTATTAAATCCCCAAAAATTGATTTGCATTATTATATATCTAATAATACATAATGGTTCCCTAACATGCAGATTTAAGGAGCAGTAAGCAGCAAGCATCTCTGTGAACAAGGGATACAGCATGGAGCTGCGGATTGATCGCTGTTGTATTTAACAACGCAGCAATGTGAGATCCTTTTTATGCCAGCGTGGCGTAATTAGTCAGAATCACAGGTCACATGGTAACATCTTCCATAATCTTCACAAGGTCCCATTTTAAGGCATACCAAGCTGCGTGTATTGCAGTGTCCCAAACCTTACTAGCCATTTGCTCAGTAGGTGTGATGGGAAGTGAGTCGCTTCCCAATAAATATCCTGAAAAAAAAGGCAACAATATTACAAGTCAGATGGAGCCAACATGTTCTCAACTGAGCCTGAGCTTAAAATAAGATTTTTAAATAACATCTTAAACAACTGAAATATTATTCAACAGCACTTTTTCAATGGAAAAATACTACAGGTCCATCTAGAATATACAACATGGGGGGGTTGAACAATGTTTTTTTCCAGTACTTTATTTGTAAAATAATGGAAAAATATCCCCAAAACACTCAGTGAAACTGATACAAATTCATTAAACACTCTTCGACATTTTAGGCATTCATTTCAGCATTTGAATGACTATGGATTACAGGTAACAAAATTCCGATTTCAGAGTTTAAAGACCAATCAAAAATCCTGTGTCATGTATAGTATATGCACATAGGCTTCAGTTCCTAATCTCAAAGCTTATTTTATTTCTGCAGCTGGTGCAAGTTTTTCCTTCCACTCAACTTCCTAAAAAATGCTTGTATACAGAACTTTGAACAAGCAGCTCCTTTAGGAATAACCTTTATGGCTTAAACGCCTTCTTAAGGTTGTACATCGGTGTTTGATAAACAATCTTCAGTTCAGTGCAATATTAAAAAAATTTAATTAAAAGTTATTGGCTTTCAATTAATTAAATGGGAACAAGCACTTGAAATATATCACTTTGTTTCCAATTAATCTATACTATATAAGTTCATTAACTTAATACAGGTTGACTATTGAGATGCATGTGTATGCTGTGTAAAAAAATAAATACATTCTTAGATTTTTGAGATGACACAACATTCAAGAGAGAATATAGACCCTGTAGCTCACCCCAAGCCAACAGCAAGAATGTGAGAAATGATTAAAGATGGCAGGAAGATCTTTAGAAAGTCAGAGGAGAGAATGCCGCCCTTCTTCATGACACTGGTGTTCCTAATGCTGAGCGAGGCTGAGCGCTTGGGGTTCTTGAGCAGGAACTCCCTGTAGGGCAGCACATTAATATTTCATTTTGTGCATAAAGATCAGCTGGTTTAATGTCATGCTCAGAACTGAACTCCTGCAGATACAAGCTTGAAGTCAGTGATCAACAAATACAACAGTATAAGAAAGATATTAGCAGTTAAATCTAGGTAGAAGCCCTAATTCTTTTATATATATATATATATATATATTACAAACAGAAAACCAGCTTCTCTTTTTGATAGTTTTAATTGTTCAGCCACTTTCTCTGGAATCTCATCAAAAGGATTTTATATTGTAGGATCTGCATGGAAATCTCTGTATATCTGGATAACAGCACCCGGCTCATGTCTAGACGCAACCATGCACCACCTCAATCAGCAACCTTGCCTCAGGTATTTAAAAATGTGTGCTTTAAAGAACGGAGCTCTTTACTTCGGTGGGCTGCTCTCGGGCCGACTGGACCAGTCCCATATCCAATCAGCATTCTTCTTCATCAGATTCTCTACTTCACGTCTCCTCTCTTGGAAATCTTCATCAGACTGAAAAATAAATAAAATAAAATGATATATAAACCTATGTTGTTATAAGACACTGAATTATCAAGGCAAATAAAGAAGGACCTCCCATAATAGGAATGCTGCAGCTATTATATGCTCCGCTTCCTGCTTTGACATGTCAAAAAGAATCTGGGTACAGTCTTGTAAACGTACACCATATTCTAACAAACCACTTTAACATTTCTACATGGAGCCACATGCCTGTGTTATAACCACATGTATTAATGGGTCCTTTTTATCAACACTTTTGAAGGGACGAAATAAGTTTTTTTAAAGAAAAATCTGAAAAGTGTGGCATGCGTTTTAACATTCAACCCTACCTAAACTGCAGTAAGTACTGATGGGTTCTAAATCAATAAATAAAACTATAGAAAACCCATCATCAAAATAAAATAAAAAAACTAAGGGTGAGCATCTATCGTATTGTTTATTGCTATCACAATAAAACTCCTCATGATAAGAATGTTTCACTTTATGCTCCGCTGTTGCTCCATCACAACACTTATAATTTCAGAAGTATATGATAAAATGAATACTGTGTCCAGTGTAGTGAAAAAAACATATTTAAGTAACTGGGGTCCCGATGAAGCGTATGGTATGTCTTTTCAAGAGTTGTAATTGTGGGGCTATGGTTATTTTGCCATGGAGTCACAGCCATGTAGTTACCTAAATAGCCAGTAAAGATGTAATGAATATGTATTACTGCCAAGGAAGCAGTATATTAATCAGAGCAGCAGCCAAGAGGCTCATGGTAACTCTGGAGGAGCCGTAGAGATCCAAAGCTCTGGTAGGACAATGTTTTAACAACTGTTTTCTGCCCTTTATGGATGAATGACAAGATTCTGGACAGATGTCTTAAGCCCGGCGTACACTGTGCGATTTTCGGGGGGATTTTCCAGTCGTGCGAGAATCTTTCGATCGGGCCGACTTTCAGCTTGAACGTACGTCATGAGTCGTGTAGTGTACAGGGGGTTATGAGGGGCGAACAGCCTCTCAAGACCACCTCCTGATCGGGAATCGTGAGGTTGGTTTGCCCACAAACATGTTTGGTTTTCTCCTGACCGTCGTGGGCAAATCGCTCAAGGCGCATGCGCAAAGAAGGAGTTTTCTTTTTATTCTTCCTCTCAGATGTAAGCACAGAAGCATGGCAGGGATGGAATGAGTGAAATGCAGTCCTGTCTGTAAAATTGACAGACTGTAGTAGCCATGTTTGCTCAGCCGCCATGTCTTTGTCCAAATATGTCGTCGCCTTTTCTTTTCAGGACTTTTAGCACAAAATTGCTAAGGCAGCGCGTTTCACTATAGTGAGCTTAATATCCTCCTTCTATTTGTTCGGCTTCCAGATAGATGAGTCAGAGCAGCTCCATCTCACTGCGGAGCTGAGTCCGAGATGGTTTTTATTTGTGCAGTGTGAGCAGGTAGATCGCATCAGAGCGTCAGGCCAAACATAAATCGTGAGCTGTGAACTCACACTGTACGACGAAACCCTGCGGTTAGTCGTACAGTGTGAGCAGTAGCTGCGTGCAACCATTGAAAAACATCACACAGTGTACGCCCGGCTTTGGATGATGCCCATTCTATCTGACTAAAATGAACTATTTTGGTAACACCAACAAAGAAGGAACACATTGATAGATGCCTTTAGACAGGCTCAGACTGGGAATGATTTTTGGCCCTGGCATTTTTCTATCTACACCGGCCCACTAATGGGCTGCGTAACGTTTTCCAGCCCAAAAAGTGTTTATAAACTGCCTGGATATACAAAATCAATTTGAACCAAAGTCCATTGATCTATTAGGCCATAAATATAAAGAAAAAATGTACCCATAGATTGCCATCCTAAACTGCCAGATTGGGAAACATCCCAACTTGGCAACAATGCACATAATATGTTAGCCTTTAGATGCAAAACCCCATCATGTACCGCAACATATTTGCAAAATATTCTAACATAAATTTGCCAAATATAAGAGGAAAATCATAGTTTGGTTTGGTAATGCATGCATCATTTAAGTAGTTAACATAGTATTATTTCTTGAGCTCCTTGAGATATTTGCTGTCACAGGTAGGAGCTTCGGCCGGAAAGTAGGTGCTGAAATTAGGACCGGCCCACAGGGGGAAATACCCGGTATCACAGATTACCAGTCCGAGCCTGTCTGTAGACATGCAAACCAGGCAGTGACATACAGCAAACGTCTTGCAGTTGAATTTTAGGCACCATGTGTGTTACAAATTTTTTGCAAATTGTTGCACGAAGGGGTCCACCTATTCCAAATGGGTGTTCCACTTTACATGTTTTCAAAACAAAAACAAGGCTATGTTCGGGCTACTGTATAAAACCTCCATCTCAACGCTATTCCTGACATTTTGAATCGAAAAAGCTTACTAGATGGGATGCAAAACGTTCGAAACCCAAGTCCAGTGGATTTTTTTTTTTTTTCAATCCTGATACATGGCTTATTGCAAAATATTCTACCTGAGAGCTGTTTCCCTCTGAGCCTCTCCACAGCAGAAGGGGAGTCTGTGATCTGAGTGGGCTGAGAAGAAAATATATAACAGAGATCTGAACACACCTACAGCAACAGCTTCTTGGATACCAGGTATTACGCAACAAACACTGGGTGTTCTTCCTCTTTTTTTTATTTATTTTGCACACAGACCTGTTGCATTGGGAGCTTCCTTTGGAACTGCTCCTGCCTGACTCATGTTGCGCTTCTAGAAGCATTTTCTCCACGTCACCCTCCTGGATGGACGTGGGGATTTGTTCCTGGCTTCCTCGATGACTGGCACCTTGGGAGCCACTTCCACTGAAATGCAGCTCTACCCAGGAACCTTAAAAAACAATATCTGAACATGAATACGCGTTTCCATCCTCAATTACAGGCGTTTATTATTATTATAAGGTTGAAGGAGCGCCATCGAACAATAAACATGGTTGCGCTGTTATCCTGGTGCGTCTCAGCTGTTTTGTGTCGTTCAGCTTTAAATACTTTACCTTGCAAACTCTCGTCAGATGAAATGTCCCTCTGATGCGACATTTGAGCTGCTATGTGGCGACTGTTAGTCTGAAACAGAGAATTAAATGTAGGTGAAATGGTGGCGAAATGTTTCCCAAGCAGCTGGAGCCTCAACTAACACAATGATTGTGACGCAATATTTTGTTTATCCCAGCTGGGATTGGTTCCAAAAAGGAGGGCACGTATAACACGCACAACGAGTATCAGACACACTGCGCATGCGCAGTGCACATTCACCGTCCAAAGCTCTTTTCTTTACGAGCTATTGATGCATTTTGAGTACTTGGAAATATGCAATATAAGAAATATGCGAATGTTCATGCCATGTAAGTTTTTTTTTTTTCAGGGAAGGCTTTTGACTCGCTGTAATTCCCCTCGGCCGCCTGCAGGTGGCAGCAACGACTCACCTCGGTCATTTTCTTCATAGCAATAATTCCAGCACTATGCAGCAATATGTGATAAATGTTGCATTTTTTCTCCCGGTTCTCCATTTTCCTCTGCATCCTCTTAGCTTTTGCAGGTTGTGTACTGGTAAATATTGCAACAAAAGTTTAAAGGTTCAATCATTTGTTTCATGAAAGATAATTTGATTCACTGAGAGAGACAGACAACATAACTACAAATAAAAAAATAACTTTTTTTAATAATAGGCTTGACAGCTTTTTCTGTTGTGTTGTTTTTGCCATGCATTTATTTGCTGTTATTCTTTTATTACCATGAGCCTGTTATTAAAGGTATGTGCTGCAGTTTTCTTACAAAGTCACCACATTTAGTAGTTTTAACTTATACCCTATTTGAGTCATTTTAATTCCCTTTAGATTATCAAGATTTACTCCTTTAGGATCCTTTTCTAATTTATTGATTTTAGTCATGTGCAAGACATTGTCTGGACGAAGTAATGAGTCTGTAAAAGCAGAGAAGTTGCAGAGAGGTTTATTAAACAATGAATCTGCTTCCTGGTCTGTACCCTGCACCTTGTAGTCCTGTTTCTCTCCAGCACATAGCTATAAGTGCAGTTTTTACTTTGACTACCTGAATGTGTTCTCTTTCATCCCTTATGACAGCTTTTTTCCATTTAAATAATGAAATTGACACAATATAAATAAATAATATATTTAAAACAAGATGTAATATATGCAAAGAAACCACAACTTTTTTAGCAAACTAAAAACATTAACAATCAATAGCAAATGGAGGGAGCAGCACTAGAAGTGCTTCATGTGCTATCAAGGCATTGGCTCTAAATGCATGAAAGAATCGGGTGGTGTCCATACAAAAATAAAGCTAATATTGGGCCGAAATATTGGCCAGCAGATGTATTGGATTACCTCTAATCATGACACTGGATCAGGTGATTCAGCTTCCTCTCCATTCACTTCACCACCCATTCACATGCTACATTTCTTCTACACACAAACTCACATTCTCCATCGACCAGGTACAGAAGGAGCTATCCAAGGTTCACAAGAGCAAACCAAGTGGCCCTGATGATACATCATAGTTAATAGTTTTTTCTGAAGAAATGGAAGATCATCTCTTTATTAAGCTTTCCCTGAAGAGGTCCCTGTGTTCGGGGAGAGATTTGGCATGGTGTGAGCCAAAGATCAACACAATGGTCTAAAAAAGTACATAACAAACATGCTCGGACAACTCATTATATAAAAACCTTTGGGTTGGTTCTACAGCAGGACTCAGCTAACAGCATTTCCAGACCCACTGCAGCTTGGTCATCCATGCAATGGTTGTAGAAAGCCATCATTTCGAGTTTACAACTTCAAGCAGATTTGCAAAGAGAAAGGTGAATTAAGGTATCTCTTTCTGAGGATAATTAAGTCTTTCTGGTTGTGTAAATGTATTCTAAAGATCTTCTACCACTCTGAGGTTGCCAGTTTCTTCCTTTATCTGTGGTGTGCAAAGGAAGCGGGTCAAGATTTCCTCAATTTTGAGACAAAGAAACTAAATAAGATGGTAAATGACGCTGCAATACCCAGGAGCTTTGGGTCGAATTTCAGAAGAACTTATGTTCCTGTTTTCATTTAGTGTGAGAAAGAAGAGAGGGGGAAGATCTCAAAATTTGTTTAATTAAACTGATAACATAAACAAGAAAATACATAGTTGACTGTTCTTTGTCTGTAGGGTGGAGGCAAAACAAAATGGTAAGAAAAAAAGATGGCGATTAAATCCAGCTCTGTGATGGGAGTGGGACTGAAACACAACAGTTTGGGGTGAAGTTGGGAAAATTGGATGGTGTCTATATATAAACACTTTCCTTGTTAACCTTTTTTACCCATGCTCTGTGTCCAAGATATGAACATGTATTTGTGCAAAACATGTTTATCTAACCGAACAATAAAGAGATCTCATCAATGTGCTGGATTTTGGTGCTGTGTGATCTAGGGTAAATTAGTCCTCGTAATGAAAACCTAATGGGTATGGTGAAATACATAACTTAGGAAACAATACAAAAAATGATAAATATAATTTGTAAATAAAATTGTTGGAAGCTGGAGAAGTACCTCTCTTCTCCAGCAGAGTCCGCCGTGGATCCTCCTGAGCAGAGCCCTCTGCACAGCTGCTGCTCGTTACCATCATCAGGAGGACCCTCTACTTAAGCTGTCTTCAGACCTTGCCTCAACGCCGCAGTGTTGAGCCAGTTGGTTAGCACCTAAGCCCAGAACCTCTGAGAACTTTGCTTGCTCTGAGATCCTGACAGGATCCTAATCTTGTCTCTGTCTCTCCAGGAAAACCTGATCTTCCTTCGTGAAGCTCTGGTAGAGCTTAACCCGCCGAGCCTGCCCTCAGAGCCAAACCTGAAGACTTCCCCTGGATTCTCTTGCAGCTCTGGACCAAGAGCTGGAAATCCAAAGTCAAGGTCTGCTACCTTTCTAGAAGCAAGACGCTGAAGCAGCTAACGGACTCAGCTAATCAGACTCTCTCCAGTTCCAACAACCTTCCTCTCCAAGATCCATTCAAGGACCCACAGGTACAAACCAGAGACTATCAAATGACAAACCGCTAAAAGCCACAGCTAACTAACTGTCTTCCTCACAGACTCCGGTGAACCCGTTTGCCCAGGACCAGAACCAGAACATACTACCATTGGATTGTATTCAATAAACTCTGTTAACTTTTCATCTGTTTCCTGTGTCGTGGTGTTCTGCATAATTGGGTCACATTCGTGTACCGATCATGACAGAACACTGCGGCCAAACACCAGGCCCAGCAGAACACATCCGCCGTCGATTGGAGGAGCAAGATGCACAAATTTATGGACAAGCTCAGACTCTCCGTGAGTTATACTGTCTTGTGGAAACTAACAATCAAAAGCTTCAGAGCTATGCTAATTTCATGAACAGTGCTAACGCCACACCGGCAGCGCAACCTTTTCCGGGTCCAGTTCCCCCTCCGAGGTCACCAGCAGTGACGTCATCAGAGTTCCGCCCAAGCCTTCCTGAAAAATTCTCTGGTAATATGAAGGATTGCAGAGGATTTTTATTTCAGTGCAGATTATTGTTCCAGAACTCTCCAAACAGCTTTTCGACGGACTTTAAGAAAATAACCTTTATTCTCTCTCAACTAACAGGAAGAGCTTTGGAGTGGGCCCAGGCCAGATTTCCCTCAGATGAAAGTCTCAACTGCCGATACTCTGATTTCATTTCTGAATTCTCCCAGGTTTTTAATCAGGAAACTGATCAAACAATTGACTCTCGTGCTCTTTTCAGTATTAAGCAGGGAGATTCATCTGTGGCTGATTTTTCGATCAACTTCCGGGTTAAGGCAGCAGCTTCCGGATGGAATCAAAGTGCTCTGAAGGGAGCTTATTTCATGGCCTTAAATGAGAATATTAAAGACGAACTGGCAACTCTCGACGAACCAGCCTCCCTTGAGGATCTAATTAAACTAACAATTAGATTGGATAACAAAATTAGAGCCAGAAACAGCTCTAAGTTAAGAAATTCTGGGTCTCACGCCTCTACTTCTGCATCAAATATTGTGACTGTTTCTTCTCCTCCCACAGACAGACCAAAAGCCCAGTCCCTCCCTCTGCCTTTTCAGGCTTCATATTCAGGTGGTACGGAGGTCGAACCTATGCAGGTGGGACACACTCGGCTTACTCCTGAGGAGAGACAAAGACGTTTTTTGAGCAGACTTTGCATCTATTGTGGTGAAAGTGGACATTTCATTGCTTCCTGCCCGGCAAAATCAAAAGGCAGGGCCCGCCAGAGGATCTGAGGAGTCTGGCGGGCCAAACCAACTCTAAGAAACCTCCTCGATTGATGCTGCCTGCCACCTTGTTTTGTAATAATCAGAACCTCTCTTTTTCTGCCTTTATTGACTCAGGCTGTGAACGGAACCTCATAGACTCTAACCTCGTTCAACAATTGATGATTGAAACTGTTCCTCTTTCTCAACCCCTCCGTGTCTCTGCCATTGATGGGAAAAATCTCCACCAAGTTACTCATCAAACCCAACCCCTCGAGCTCCTCCTCTCAGGTAACCATCGTGAAACTATCACATTTTTTGTTATTCCCTCCGCATGTTCCCCGTTGGTGCTTGGATTCGAATGGCTGGAGAAACACAACCCACGCATTAATTGGACTGAACGTCACGTTGAAGCATGGTCTACGTCATGTCATGAGACTTGTCTTCGGTCGGCAGCCCCCGTGGTGGGGCCTCCTAGGGGTGGGGGAGAGATGGACTCTCCTGACCTATCTTCAGTTCCTTTTGAGTACCATGACTTGGCCCCGGTTTTCAGTAAGGTCAGTGCTACGTCCCTTCCACCACATAGACCATATGACTGTGCTATTGAGTTGTTACCTGGAGCACCGTTACCCAGCAGCCGTTTATATAACATCTCCAAGCCAGAACGAGAGACAATGGAGAAGTATATTAACGAGTCTTTAGCTGCTGGAATTATTCGCCCGTCCTCTTCTCCTTTGGGTGCTGGTTTCTTTTTTGTTGGCAAGAAGGATGGTTCGTTAAGACCATGCATTGACTACAGAGGGTTGAACCAAATCACCATAAAGAACAAGTACCCTCTACCTCTCCTAGCCTCTGCTTTTGAACCTGTTCAGGGGGCAACAGTCTTCACCAAATTGGATCTGAGAAACGCATATCATCTCCTCAGAATCAGAGAAGGAGATGAATGGAAGACT